TTTGAACAACTAAAAGATATTCTCTTTAAATTTTTCAAAACATCAAGGAATTTTTCCTGATCAATTGAAAATCGCAAAAGTTACACCGATTTTTAAAGAAGGTGATAGAAATAATATTAGCAGCAGTCGACCTATTTCTGTTTTATCAATATTTTCAAAAACTTAAAAAAAAAATGTATAATATAGTGTATTGTAAAAAAATGTATAATTAGTATTTACATTATAATAACCTATAACACATTATAATAACCTATAACACATTATAATAACCTATAACACATTATAATAACCTATAACACATTATAATAACCTATAACACATAATAATAACCTCTCATATAACAACCAATTCTAACCATAAAACTGCCTCCAATTTTATTGACCAAATTGAGATTAAAAGAGACTGTTTTATAAAGTTTTGTATACATGTGGAAAAATATTTTACTTTCCAACATTTTTAAATATATCTTTACTTTAAAACCTGTCAATAAAAAAAAAGAAATAATGATTTGCTTAACCAAATTTTTTGTCGAACCAAATTTAATCAGTTTTGTATTGATTATTGTGCGTCATGTCTTGGAATAAGGTTATTTTGCAAAATTTTGATTTGCCTTCTTCTTAGCCTGTTTTTAAAGGTAACTTAAAAAGTTTTATTCTTTCCATAGATAACGTACTTATGTACTACTAATAGTAACCTTTTGAAATTTTTAACTTTCTATTATTATTAAGCAATTTAAACAATTCTACTGTTTATATTTAGTCATTTTACTTTATTTATATTTTGTACTAGTCTATATAATTTATAAAGTTTATTTTATTTTATCGTTTTAAGAAGATTATTAGTTTATTTTATCTCGTTATTGTAAGTAGTTTATTGATGCATTAAAAAAAAAAGTCCTTTTTTAGAAAAATTTGACTTTAACAATGTTTTGTTTACTTCCATTGACATGTTTAGTTTTATTAGTTTACTTGTTTTTATCATTGGTTATTAGACAGGTGAGTTAGAATCATTGTTAAATGCTTTTTTCTACCTCTTTTTGATGTTAATATTTGACCTGTTTTAGGCGAGAGGCCTAAAACTCTCAGGTAGCATGATCGAATTTTTAAAAACTAATGGAGTGATTGCGTCATAATTAAAGGTTTTATATAATAAAAGTGGATTTTTTAAACTTCTGTCTAGCTGATTAGCTGGTATCTGAATAGATTCTTTAGTCTTTTTATTTAGTGGTTATAGTTAAACTGAATATGGTTGGCAGATTTTTTGTTTGAATCAGCATGGGATAAAGATGGGTTTGGGCGATCAGTTACATAATTAGGACAATAATCAACATCAATAAAAATATCATGTTTTAATCGGTAAATACCCGTTGCAGCAAAACCACTCAAAATACTCTTGGGAGATAAAGTCTGTGGAAATGCAATGTTTACAATTTTTTGAATATCATATATTGTAATGGTTTTCCCAGGATTCATTACGAACCATGAAGTCATAGCAATATTTATATAGTTTTTTAGTAGACTTTAAACTTATCCAAAGGCTGCAATCTCTGCGTGCAATGCGGTGGAAAGGTAAGCATTACTAGTCCACTATTTTTTGCAAAATCTAATTCTCTAATACTAAGATGTGTATCATGATTGTCAAGCAACAATAAGTAAGACTTCTCTTTAGTGCATTTTGCATTGCGTACAAAATGTTGCAGATCGTTTATAATTTTTTTTTCATTCAATCACTTGGGTTGGCATCTCCAGCTGTCTGTTGTTACTTCTATAAGAAAATGATCTTTATAGTTTTTACGAGAAAAAATAAAAAACGTAGGAAGGCTATTTTCAATAGCATTTATTGTGCATACTAAAGTTACAAGTGTTTCTCATTAAACTGATCAGATGGCACTTATTTTAATCTCTTCTTGGCAATAATCTTTTTAAATCTCTGTCGGTTAAATCTCTAAACAAATGTAGGTTAAATCTCTAAGTATCTGTAGGTTAAATCTCTAATCTGTAATCTCTAATCTGTAATCTCTAATCTGTAATCTCTAATCTGTAATCTCTAATCTGTAATCTCTAATCTGTATTCTCTAATCTGTAATCTCTAATCTGTAATCTCTAATCTGTAATCTCTAATCTGTAATCTCTAATCTGTAATCTCTAATCTGTATTCTCTAAACCTCTGTTGGTTAAATCTCTAAAAAATATACTCCTGTTTCTTCCATGTTCCAAAAGTCATTTGGTAAGAAGGAGTAATTATGCAGACATTGTTGCAAGTTGTTGGAAAACGATGCAACACTCTGCTTATTGAAACTAGTTACTTGACATAAACTAGTAGCTTTAGGTTGTCTTATCAAAATATTCAAATGGCCCTTCATAGATGCAGTAAACCAATCTTTACCAGCCTGTTGGATCTAATATTCATGCATGTGGGCTCTTAACTTTGTTTAATTAAATCTGCTATAGAATCAAGTGATATGTTAGTAAGAATAACTTTTTTACAATAACATGTAAATGTTCTGTTGTTAATTTCATGGTCATTTGCAGCTGGTCTAATAGATATGACATTAATCTTTACATATTTAACATCACGCATTACGACATCCGTAGAAGTTTTACATCTTAGTTTTTCTTTTAAAATTCTTACTACGCAAAAAATAAATGTTCATATGTTCAATTTTTTTTTTTACTTTTTTTATTTTTGGTGCCTCAAGAAATCCTTGCGATCTTATCACAGAGCACCGCGGAAGAGCATTTGAAAGGAAGATCACGCCTTCTTTCTTATATATGTTATGAACCTTTCCCAGAGGTGGCATTAAACCACGTATCTCTAGCTTCTGAGGCAAGCACTAATCACTTCTACGGCTGCTCTGCACTATTCTCTTTATTCATACACTATATATATATATATATATATATATATATATATATATATATATATATATATATATATATATATATATATATATATATATATATATATATATATATATATATATAAAAATGCGCATTCGAGGCAAACGTGACAATCATCCCCATTTATTTTGTGACAAGTAACCCCTTCTATGTTAGTTAAATGACATTTGCAAATTTATTCACAAGCGTGTGAATTTCATGAGATATTTTATAGATTACGTTTCTCAAATGAATAAACAACTTTATAAATGTACATTCAAAACACAATAAGATAATTTCCGTTTAGAAAAAGAAAAAGTAAGTGAAACTCAACTTTTATATATCACAAAAAAAAAAAAAAAATATAAAGAAATTTTTTCTACACGCTAAAAAAAGATGGAAATAACTGTGAAAATATCTTTTTTGGATAAGAAACCTTATGCAAATCTTGCATAAGGTTTGTTAACCAAAAAAGACATTTTTCATTAAAATTTTTATTAAAAACTAATAAATTTTTTTAAAAAGACGTTTTTATTAAAAAATCTTTTCATTATTAGAAACATGTCTCTATTAGATTTAGATCTTCAGGTGTTTGATAACTATAAAATTAAAAGTATAAAGAAAACAATTAGTGACACATCACATAACCATTCATAATTACTCTACATTTTAGCCTCCGTTCATATATTTATATATTATTTTCATGTATAATACAACAAATTACTACATAACCACTTCGGATTAGAATTTATTATGTTTATTCAATTAGCGTTTATTATTTTTTATATTTTATTATACCCCCTGCCTTTAGGCTTATATAAAAGCCTTTAGGCTTTTATATTTTTATATTTTATTATAGTTAAAAGGAGTGGTTTTAACTACTCCAGTCCAGTGGACTGGAGTAGTTAAAAGAATACTAGGTATTAAATTATATTCGACATTTTTAACTTCTTTATTCCTTTTATCTTCTTGTATTAATTCTTGATATTTTATAATAATAAACTAATAACATAAATTCTGCTATACTAATCTCAGAATTTAATTATTTATAAAGTAAAATTTTTCAAAATATATACTTTTAAATAAATAGTTATTAACTTTTATAACGAAATACTTTAAAAAATTACCACTTTATATTATGGCTGGAACTGGATGTCCGTAGTTCAAATTCGAGGATGTTATGTTTTTTTATATATTTTTTCAGTTTTACAGATAATTTTTTTAGAAATTTTTTACAGAAGTTTTTTTTAAGAAGATTTAATGAGCCCCTTTTCCATGCCAGGAATTTTTAAGTTTTGAAGATTTGTTTTCCTTTCAAGCTTCAAAAACACTTTTTTTTATTACTTAAAAAGCTGTATTTGCATTTTCACCATCTGATCCAAGTTTACATAAGTTGCTACAAAACCTTTGTAAGTCGCTATGAAACTACTTTCTTTATTTTTTTAATGTAGTGCTTATTATATAATATCAAAAATATAAATCAGTTATAAAAAGTTTGAATGTGCCAGATATCCAATGTCAAAAGTGACACCTTTCAGAGATTTGTTAGTGCTATCTATCTAATATAAAAAGATAGGGCTATCAAATAAAAAAATTTCTCTCATTAACTAAAGGTGTGTCCACACATCTTTAGATGATAAAATTAAAAAAACAACTAGTTTACCAATAAGAATTTTAGCAATTTTAGCATTCACTCAAGTAAGTCACGGCACAAAGTGTTAACTCATACTTAAAACTTAAGCGTGAGTTGACACTTAAAGTACAAGTCCTTTTGTCAACAAGAGTATTCTAGAACTTAATTTTGTTAAATTTTGTTTAAAGATTGATTTTGCACATCCACAAACCATAATGATCCTTGGTAAAAAAAACAAAAAAATTAAAAAAAAAACTTATAAACTTTTTACAATACCTTAATGAGCAAACTCTAAAATTCGTTCATATATTTTAAAAACACTAAAAAAATAGAGAATCTTTAATTATAATGACTCTAAAAAAGTCTCATTCAGCTGACACACTGTTCAGGTATCAAGTCTCATCAGCTGCCACACTGTTATATACAACTTTAGGGATTCTCAAATAATGAAAAACGAGTAAGAAATGAAAAAATATATTTACATAATAATTTAAATAAATTACATATTAATCCTAGTGGAACCACAAACTTTAAAAAGTATTCACTTCATTAATATTACACAATCTCATACGAGATATTAATGTCACCATTAATATTTATTTCTATATTTATTAAAATATTTAGTCGTAAAATATTCAACATAACATCGCTAAAACCTGAAACACACGCAACTCTCTATGATGAACATAGCGTATTACTGTTCATAAAACACGGGTAACGTTTTTTAACAGTTCATAACACGCGTGTAACATTATTTAACAGTTCATAACACGCGGGTGATTTTCTTAAACGAACATGTTGAATTATTGTTCATAAATTGAGCAATGTGAAAAGAGCCCCTTCGATCCCCCAGTAAAGTTACAGGAGAAGTAATTGCACCAGAGATAGAAGGTTCAATCTTTTTTGACATATTATGAAGTTGATCTTCAGACACAAAAGATTTGCTTAAAAGATAACTTTTAACTTCAGGCACCTAAACATAATAAAATTGAAAATAAAACATTGACCATTAATGATTGCATATTTTAAAATAAATGATTAATCGCATATTGAAAGGTTTTTAAAGTTAAAAAAGTATTGTAAAAAAAAAAAAACTTGAGAAAAACAAAAGCCAAAAAAACAAAACATTTTAAACACTAAATACAAACATCCAGTAATTTTTTAAAAAGTATTTATTTTTTTAAAAAGTATTTATTTTTTTAAAAAGTATTTATTTTTTTAAAAAGTATTTATTTTTTTAAAAAGTATTTATTTTTTTAAAAAGTATTTATTTTTTTAAAAAGTATTTATTTTTTTAAAAAGTATTTATTTTTTTAAAAAGTATTTATTTTTTTAAAAAGTATTTATTTTTTTAAAAAGTATTTATTTTGATGATTTTATTTTGATGCATAATGATTTTAATTTAAAATTTAATCTTAAGAAATATTTTTTCATCTTAAAATCGTACTTTACAATTTTTTTTACAATCAAATTCGATAGTTTAAATTAAAATTAGAGCAGTGTATAAATTTACAATAAATAGTAAAAACCTCTTGAAAATTATATTTCTTCCGTTGAAATTGATTTATTTCTTCCAATAATGAATAAACCTAAAAGATAAATCTAAATCTAAAAAAAAAAATACAAAAAAAAAAAAAGGTAACAACTAGTGTATAGCTCATATACCTGTCTTCTTTTGCTTAAGTTAACAATTCCTCCCTTTAGATAATCAGCATTACCATCGCAAATAAAAGTTAAGTCTTTTAAATACATTCCAAAGTAAGGGACAGCAGGCGATGGAGAGTTAGATAGTGCTTTTCTATATTTCACATGATTGCGCTTTGAGTCCATTAGATTTTCAATCTTTTGTAAACAACTCAATACATTTTCTGGTATTAAATCACGTGTTCCTATCATACAAAAAAAAAATCCTTTAGCAATACTAAGTCCATCATTAAGTATAAAAAAAAAATCACTAAACAACTTACCAGATAACCTTCTTACTGCACCACTACTTAACCCTGCTACTGTTATGGCCATGACAGCATTATAGTTGCGAAACTCAAGACACTGCTTTGCTGTTTCAACAAAATTTACAAACATTTGAGCACGTCTATGAATATTTGGCTCAGAAACAATGCTGCACACAATCCAGTTGCTCATCTGAAATAGTTAAATAGATATTTTCTAACAAATTTGTATCTATATCTATATATCTACATAACACAGCATATATATATATATTTATATATATAGTTGTATATATATATATATATATATATATATATATATATATATATATATATATATATATATATATATATATATATATATATATATATATGTATATATATATAGTTGTGTATATATAAATATATATATATATATATATATATATATATATATATATATATATATATATATATATATATATATATATATATATATACAACTACTTTTTTAGTTAATAACAAAGTTTTTTTAACTTTGATATTAACTAAAAAAAGATTGATATCAACTGAAAAAAATTAGGAAAATGAATTTATTTATTTTATTTTTAAAAAAACAAACAATTAGCTATACAATAACCATTAATAAGATAAGATAGTAAAAATAATAATTAAAAAAAAATATATAATCATAAAATGAGTTGCATAAAAGTTTAATTGAGTTAAGGTTTAGAACATAAAAAAATTTAAAAATATATATAAATTTAATATTTAAAGTGTCCTCCTTTGGCTCGATAGCAAAGAAGAACTCATATCTGCATTGATTCCACCAATTTTATGTGCCACTTTAAATCAATACTCATTCAGAAGTTGCTTCAAATGCTTAATTGATGGAATTTGATGTTTTATCAATTAAGTGTCGATCCATGACCAAATATTTTCTATTGGGTTGATATCTGGTGATCTAGGGCACCAAGGTAACAAATTGATCTTCTTTGTGTTAAACCAGAGTGTTATACTATGTGCTGTGTGTACTGGAGTCCCGTCTTGCTGAAAGATGTATTGCTTGCTTCTGCCATACAATTGCCTTATGTATGGAATCAAATGTGTTTCAAGTTTGTTTTTGGAGGTATATTGGTTGATGCAGCCATTATACAGCTCATAAATACTGAGCCTCCACCACTTTGTCATCTTGCTTGTAAATAGTGCTCCCAAAAATATTCTCAGTTGCAAATCTTAATGTATACTCTTCCTTTGCAGTTCAAAACCTGCAATTTTGACTCATTATTCCAAACCACCTTTGCCCAATTTTCAACTGCCCAATGCAAATGTTTTTTGCACTATTTTTGACTTTTGCGCTGATCCATGATTGACAGGATAGGCTTTCTTATTGTAATCTATGAACCAATACTTTTTTTTGCTAACATTCTTCTTACGAGTTCTCTGCTTACATTTAGAAAAATATTGAAATTATGTTTTTATATGACTCACAAGCACTCATGAGTGAGTACTTGCTATATTTATCATTTAAAGTGGCTATAAAGTATAATAATTAGGTATGAAGTGTGAAAAATGTATAACTAATTAACTGGATTAAACTTTTATGCCATCACTAAAATACATTGCATACCTGTAAATATACATACATACATACATACATACATACATACATACATACATACATACATACATTCATGCATGCGTGCATACATACATACATACATACATACATACATACATACATGCATACATACATACATCAGCGACGTATCCAGGCCGATTTTGATACCGGTATACCGGTATGGGCCCCCAAATTTCAGCCCAAACTCAATTTAAAACAGTTTTATATTAGCATTTGTTGTGATCACAGAAATACCAACATTTGAAAAACGACTTTTAAAACCAACCAAAATGCCTAATTCAAATTCACGTTGATGAAATAAAGAATATGTTGTAATTGGATTAAATGTAAAACGCACGTTTTGATTGGATTAAAATATGAAACGCTTAGGATTTAATAACATTTTTAAAATACATTAATTTGAGTTTCTCCTCCGCTTACGTTTCATTAACGTAATTTTTAAATAACATTTTAAAAATACATTAATTTGAGTTTCTCCTCCGCTTACGTTTCATTAACGTAATTTTTAAATAACATTTTAAAAATACATTAATTTGAGTTTCTCCTCCGCTTACGTTTCATTAACGTAATTTTCGAAGCGATTAAACTACATGAGCTTTAAACTTTTTCATTTCAAATAACAGTAAAAATTGTATTAAAAATACTTTAAATAATAAAACGAATGAAAGTTTTTAAAACATAAAATTAGAATAACCTTTATTTAAATAATTAAATTAATATTCGCGCCAAAAAACTTGATTTGAATAGTAAGAGTAGAACTGAAAAAAAAAGGTATTAATTTTTGAATGAAGTAATTAAAATTTTGAATGAATTTACCTTGTTTTAAATACGCTATGTAATAAATCATATCAAGTTTATACCAAAGAGTCATACAAATATTGTTTACTAAACGTTATATAAATATTATAAATATTTCCAGTTAACAATATTTAATATTTTGAATTTAATAATTTAATAAATACTATTAGTTATAATTTATAATTAGTAAGTGAATGGATCAAGTAAATGAAAAGTAGCGAGTAGCGATGAATCGATGTTGTAGTTAAAGCCGTCGTTCTGTAATAAATGTAACATTATTTTGATTAATTATTTAAATTTTTGTTAGAAAAAACCTAAAAAACTAGGGTGAGTGATATATTTTATACAAATAATCTCTATTTAAATTTGAGTAAAAAAAAAAAAAGGCCTTCTTAGGTAGACAGGATTTTTAGACCGGTATGCCCAAAAAATTTCTGGATACGTCACTGTACATACATATATATATATATATATATATATATATATATATATATATATATATATATATATATATATATTATATATATATATATATATATATATATATATATATATATATATATATATATATATATATATATATATATATATATAAAGGCTTCACAGCATCAAATGAGCGGGAGAACGGAGAAAAGCTCTCCTATAACCAACATGGCGAGCCATGCAAGCTGCTCCTCTAAACTGCTTTTTATGAGAGCTTTTTTTTTTTGCACAAGCTATCTGTTTATTTATATAAAAATTGCTAATTAAATACAAAATTTGGTTTTATACTTGTTACTAGCATATGTTTGTAACGTTTATGTTACAATAGTATACAGATAGTTGTTGCGCTGTGAAAAAAGTCTTTATAAGTAAAACTTATTTTGACTTTGCAAAAATCGTGCCTGTTTATTATCCAATGAGTTAATTTTTTTTTACTTTGAGTTTTTCATTTTAGTTACAACGATAATTAAACTTTTGAGAGAAAAAAAATACTTTTGCAAGAGCTGTAAATTGCTCCCATAAACCATTTTAGAGGAGTTTGCAAGAGTGAGAGCTAAAGCTCTTACTTCCCGCCAAGGCCTGTATATATATATATATATATATATATATATATATATATATATATATATATATATATATATATATATATATATATATATATATATATATATATATATATATATATATGTATGTATATATATATATATACTTATATACACTTATATACACTTATATATACTTATATATACTTATATACACTTATATATATACTTATATATATATATATATATATATATATATATATAAATATATATATATATATATATATATATATATATATATATATATATATATATATATATATATATATATATATATATATATATATATATTAATACCTGATTAAACCTCTGTGCCACATCTTCAATAGGATGTAAATTGTCTTTTTCAATATGTAACTTTTTTATATATCCTAATGATATTTTTCTTAGGATATCTTTTGATGTAATATTACAAAACATTTCTAAATAAAAAACAAGAAGTAAAATAACAATTTATTTAAAACATTCAAATCAAACAAAATTACCATGATCACACATACCATGGTCAATTAACGTAATTTGTCGTGCTAGTTCTCTAGGATGTTCAAGCAGTTCAAAAGCACTGAGAAAAAATAAATTAAACAACTAAATAACTTAAATACTTAAAAACAAAATATTTTTACTACATATTACTTATATCATAATTATATATACTTATATTTTGATGTAAATAGATATTTAGATAGATATTAAGTACCTGTAAATAGTACCTGAACTCCCTTAAATTGAGATTAAGTATTTCTGCATCTGGTGGACATTGACATGTATAATATTTTTCAACATCAAAATGATGACCTCCTATTAATTGTGAGTGATTTAGGTCACAAGAGTCAGCATCAACCAGCAGTGAAATCTGAAAAAAAATGGCTGAGTTCTCTTTAGGCTTTGTTTAAAAAAAAAGAAGAAAACTTTAAGTATACTGTCTATAAAAAGTGGAATAATTATTAAAAAGAATAACTTTTATTGTTTAACTGAATGTATTATGGTACTGATGTAACAATGCATGTAATAGATGCAACATGTGACTGAATGAGTGTGCAATAAAATGCGATGTGGTTTCCTAAGTTTACATACTTTATTCTTCATAAAGTATGTAAAATTAGGAAACCAAAATTTTTTTCTGATGCAGTTGTAGGCTGATCATGAAAATTGTAGGTTGTAGATAGATTATGAAAGTTGTAGTTGTAGGTTGTAGGCTGATCATGAAAATTGTAGGTTGTAGACAGATCATGAAAGTTGTAGTTGAAGGTTGTAGGCTGATCATGAAAAAATGCTCAAATGCTTGCACAATTGTTTCAAATTTTTTTCACAAATATATGTTTTCATTCATAGACAAAACTTGTAGATGAATAACTTTTTATGTATTATTTCACAGTAATTTAAAATTTTTTAACCTTCTAGGATATAAGAAAACTTGATCTAAATATATAATTGGTTAGATGATAAAGGGCTAACATTTTATTCCAGGAAGAATTCTAGGAAGAATAAAACAAATTCCATTGTTCATTATAAACAATGAAGTTTGTTCATTATAAACAATGGAACTTGTTTATTAGCTGTGGAAAAAAGCAAAGAATGGATTGTAAAAGATTGCATCAAGATTTAAAGGCGATTTTTAAATTATTTTGTTTTTTTCTTGATTAGAGATTTTTACATAGATATTTTACATTTCATGAAATAAATATCTTATGAAATATGAAAAAATGTACCTTTTGAAATGTTAACTTTACAAATAGTTTATTTTAGTTTAAGTTCTAACCTGAGTTCAATTCAGTTCAGGCAAACTTTATAGCTTAACAACTTTTCACAAAATATACAAATTAAAAAAGATTATTAAAATATATATATATATATTTTAACTTTTTTTTACCTTTAAAATTCTGATGTAATTGAGAACATTCAAATAAAGTGTCAATTAAACAAGTTTAAAGACTAGATTTAAAACAATAAATTATTTTTAAGTTAATTTTAGCCTTAAACAAAATGGGGCTCAAAATATTTGTTACATCTGGCCTAAAAAATAAAATTTATACTGTTTTTTGAGTTAATTTTAACACTTTAACTTACATTTTCTAAAGTTGAAATGATATCATTTGAAACCTTGTTGGAAGTAAAACCTGATACCTTAGAAGAAAACATAGGTAGAAACTCTTGGTCTGAGACTGCCATGTTAGTTTGATCTATGCCTTGACTTTTAATTTTTTTTTTTAAATTCAGAAATGACAGAATTTCTATTGAACTTCGAGGAAGAGAACGTGTGCCATCCTTTGAATTAGAAAACCTAAAAATTAAAACAAACCATCATTCATCATCATCATCATCATCATCATCATCTTCATAATCATCATCATCATCAACATCATCATCATTATCATCATGAATATTATTATCATCAATATTTCATTACCCCTGTGATAATTTCTGAACTTCATCATCTGATTTTTCTTTAAGATTGTTTAAGTTTTGTGAAATTGTACCCTTAGTTTTGATCTTAGATAAATGATTCTGAAGAGCCCTTCCCCATGTACCACATTCTTCAGCTAATTTACTCCAAGGATTTGTGTCAATATTGTGAAAGTCTCTAATACTACTTGACATAGTGTGAGTTAATAAACAGTTAAAATCTTTTAAATTGATGATATCAATTTGAAAATCAAGAACTTTATTGTTTTTGAAACATATTATAATTGTGCCATCATCATTCGATTTCCAAGTACTAACTTCATTGAACTTTTCAATACATTGTTTAGTGCATTCATCTAAAATGACAACTTTTTTAGGACCTAAACCAATTAATCGAGTGATGTAAATTTTTGAAAGTCGATTTGAGGGAACATGCTCTTTTATTTTAAAAAAAGTGCAGCCATAACCTGGCATTCCTTGGCAACAGTCAATATAATTATGTTTTGCATTCCTTTCAGACTGTTGTAAAAGAACAAAGCTTTCATAATTGCTACAAATCTTTTTAGAAAAAGATTTTGATAAAGATACTTGTGATCCTATGCTATTTTTTATTCGAGAATTATTTATGCCTTTTATTGTATTTAGTCGCTGAGGGAAATCTTGACCATAGAGATGTAAATCTTCTATATATAATTGAAGTCCACCCAAATAAACCAAATCAGTTTCAGAACAAGGTAAAGATCCATCAAAAATAGCTTTGTAACACTGCTCATATAAATCATTATGATGATTTACAGGTGGAGATCGATAGACATTTTTAGAGCAAAGTTCTTCATGAGATTTTGACAGCAACTTTCCTAAATAATCAGCACAAGGAGCATAAGGACCACCAATGGCCTTCATTGAACTTACTACTTCACATAACTCATTTCTAATTATTGGATAAGTTTTAAAATCCTCAAGACCAACTTCAAGCCAAGCTATCCAAAATCGTACAAGACGCGCATGTATTGTTGGCAATGGAGCATAATATTCTATTGTAGTGCTAGTATTATTATAACTAATAAATGCTGCATATGCTTTAGGTTCTCGGAACCTATGTAAAAGTAAACGCATCAAAATAACAGGATGTACAAATGTTTGATACATTTTAATGACAAAGTTTATTATTTGATTTTCGTTAGGAATTGATTGAATTCTTGTTTTATTTCTTGTTGGGCAACTAATACCCCCCCATAACATTTCAATATTAGTAGTAAGTGAAAGAACTAGATTTTCAACTGATGTACCACGCAAATATAAATGGCCATCATCTTCTTCTTGAATACTTGCAAGACAAGAATCTTCCTCTGGTACATATTCGTATATATTTGTATTGGCTAAATCCAAATGGCCTAAATAAACAAGAGCTCGTCCTGCTTGATATTTTATTTTAGTATTTGGGTGCTCTAATAGCTTATAAAGATATTTTACAACATTTTCAGCCTCCATTTGTGCATGTCTTTCAATGTTAGCAACTATATTTGCTATAGAAATAGTAGCATATAAAACTATTTCCTGATCACAGTCATTTAAGCAGTTTTTTAAGAAACTCAACATATGAGATTGTGTCAATTCATCTTGTAATTTTTCATTTCTGCTGCTTGCAGCTAACATTTTCATAGCTACATGACGCGCAACAGGGCGATCAAAAGGTCTTTCTTTATTAATTTCAGAGCTTCCAGTGCTAATCAGTTTCTGACGTAAAAACCCATCAAATTCACGAGAGCCATTACGGCTGACAGAAGACAGTGAAGCATATCGAGCTAATGAATGGTCAGAAGAGGGCATAGTGTCTAAATATCCAGGACCAACAGATTCTGAGTTTAAATGTAGTAAACGATCAGCTTTTATATACTTATTTTGTAATGAATTAGATCTAACTGGGGATTTTTCTAAATCTTTGTCTTCATTAAATGATAATTTTTTAGACCTTTTTTCTAACAATGGTGTTCGATAACCACTGTCTACACTTGAAGAAAAAGTAGGTCTCATCATAGGTGAAGGTAAAGTGGTAAGACTATTATTTGCACAAATAATTCCAAGTAGAAGTTCAATATGAATTCCTGATATTGTTGTGGAATAATCTCGATCACTATCTTGCTGAAGAACATCATTAAGAATAGATAAACATGAACTCTGAAGATAAAAATTAAAAATTAAAAAAAAAAACTAAAGATTCCATCAAAATTTTTTGTTTTTTGATTATTTAAGTTAAACTTTCTTACTTGAAGAGGTTCTGGGGAATCAAGCAAGTCAATAACAGTTTTTAGTAACCCAGCAGAAATACATTTTTGACGACTTGTCACACCGTTAGCCTAAAATTTAAGTGCTATTTACAAAAATTATAAACTATAAATTAAAAAAATTACTGAATCACAAAAATTTTGAAAAAAAATAAAATACCAAAGACCAAAAAGTATAATATAAAAATTATTGAGCTTTTTGTTCATGTCATAAAGCTGGGCCTGATTAAAGACTATAAAGAAGCCCAATTATAAACATGATGACATCATCAAAGATCCAACCTGATTTGTGAAATCTGTTTAGAAATATAATTTTTTTAAAAACTTAAAAAAAAATATCTTTTATCTCTATTTTTTTAATTATTTATAAACTGTTTGTTGTAAATTAACCATCTTAGTAATTATTATTTCATTTTATTTATTTATAAACTATTATACTATCATTTCTTTGACATACAAAATTGCAGAATGGTCACACTAAAGTAACTTTGTCCACAAAAAAAAATGATGATTGTGGTTATATTTTGGTCAGAATGATAAAATCTGGCTAAAAAAAAGTAACCATAGTAAAAAACATGTTTCATAACAAAAACTATATAATTTAGGATATAACATTTGGAATTTTTTTGTTCATTCTCAAAAACGGTAAAGGATCAAATTTCAATTTTAATCATTCCTTTCATTTTTTTTGCAAAAAGGTATTGTCTTCCATAATTAGTATTTCATTGTTAGATTTTTATCCTATTTTACTAAATTTTGTATTTTATCTTTTAGGTTGCGAAGTTAGGTTGAAACCTTAAAAAGAAAACTTTTAATAGTAAAAAAGCAAGTCTGAAATTCTCTCATACTTAAGTCTGATTTTAACACCTTAACAGACCTTGTGTTAAATAAAAAATGCTTAATGCATTAGCTTAATGTGAATTTGACATCATAAAATTTACTTTATTTTTTTATTTTTTAAAGACAAAAACTTTTTAAATATTATTATCATTTATACTAATTACCACAAAATGAGTTAAATATTATTTAACTTGTTTCTTATTATTACTATTAGGGGGTGTTTATTTTATTTCAATTTCTTTTATATTAAATAATTAAATCTAATATTACATTTTTTTAAACGTTTGATATAAACAAACTTTTTTCTTTTCTCAACATTTGTATAAATGAAATTTATTTAAATGATTATTTCTTAAATTTCTAGCTTTGTAACTAAATTGATTTTTGATTTTAAAAAAATAAGTGAGTAGCAAATAAAGAAATTATGTTAATTTATTTACTTTATTTGTTAAAAGTTTATTGTTTTATAAGCAATTTTGTTGTAAAAGCAAAGATTATTTTTCCAAACACCATTTATTAAAATTATATTTCTATATATACTATTTATTAAGAAAATAATAGCTGCGCTTTAACTTGAGTTATAAAAAAAATTAAATGTTTTGTGCAGATTTTTGATGCCGCCTCATAACTCAAATTTCGAAATCCTACAGAGACTCAGAATTGGCAGAAATATGAGCAACCTTATTTGCTGATTTTGAAAGAGAGGCAAGTGCACTTTTGTTGACAATATAACTAAACCAAAACAAGGAAATATAGGAAATAAATTTAAGAAATAATACAAGAAGTTTATCAATACAACTCTTGTGTTATTATCAACACAGGAAATTTATTTTATTTTAGTACTCTTCAAAGCATTTAAAAGGCATCTGTTTGAAAAAGAGATCCTAAACTTTTAAAATAAATTTTTTAAATAACAAACTTTGAAAAAGTATTAGTAAGTAGTTTTTTTTTTTTTTTTTTTGAAAAACATTTTTTTATATATTGTATGTTTTATTTATTATATTTCATTAATGATGTTTGATATTTTATTTATTATATTTTATATCTTATTTTTTTAAATAAAACTATTTAATAAACCATCTGCATATTTTGTTCAAAAAATAAAACTTTATTGATAAATTTACATTTATATAAAATATGTTTAATTTTTTTTAAACCTTTCGTAGAAAAACCACTCACTAATACTTTTTCAAAGTTTGTTATTTAAAAAATTTAGTTTAAAAGTTTAGGATCTCTTTTTCAAACAGATGCCTTTTAAATGCTTTGAAGAGTACTAAATTAAATTACATCCTAAAATCTCAAAATTTTAATAAAGTTTATCTGGTAATGGAGATTTTATCTGTTGTTAATTTAAAGAAATGGAAAAAATATGTATGTGTTAAAGCAAATTTGAAAAGATCTATAAATGTTTCTCATAAAATATAATGTCCTTGGCCTTGAAGTACTCTCAAATACAAAGTTTATATGCAGTTGTACCAGAATACTGGTGAAGAACATTATTTATATTTGTTGATTAGAAAGAGTTAAACATTAGAGTTTTTTCAAAAATAAAACTTGTACTGATTGCAAAACTAGCTTACATGTTGCATGTGAATATATGAACTCTAAGGAGATTTTGTTTTCATATTTTGTTTCAACCTTAATTTTAATGAAACTGATATCTTTTTTATTACATAACTCTAATAAAATATTATCCAAAAAACCATTAAACACTTGGTAAAAATTTAACAAATTTGGTAGGCAAAATTTACTTATATAAAAAAGATGACAATTGGATATTAATACTCTATTTGAAAATTTAACAAATAAAGGGAATTTTATGTTTTTCTACTGAACAATAATTTTTTGTACAGTCATATATAAATACTGACATTACAAGCAAAAAGAAGTATTAAAGTATTGATGGCATCAAAAAAATGCAAATGATTGTGGCACATTTTTGTATTGTAATAATTGAAAAAAAAAATTTTAAAAACCAAACTAAGTGATAAAAGTTAAACAAATTCATGGAAAAATAATAACAAAAAAAAGACAAAAAAATTATTGAAAAACAGAAATGTTGTCAGTTGTGTTTTTCAATAATTTTTGAAATAACTGTGCTATGTGTTTTTATTTAACACAAAATGGCTTTTGTTAGGTTGTAGCCTTCACTAGACTTTTGTTAGGTTGTAGCTTTTACTAGGTTTTTGTTAGGTTGTAGCCTTCACTAGGTTTTTGTTAGGTTGTAGCCTTCACTAGGTTTTTGTTAGGTTGTAGCTTTCACTGGAGTATCCATAAAAAACAAACTTGATTTTATACAAAAAAATCATTAAATATTAAGCTTCTTTTTTTGTTTTTTTTTCAGAGCTAACCAATTTTTAGTTTTGCTCTTCAAAAGTATTTAATGTAAGATAATGTTATATGATAACTTAATAAGTATAAATTTATTATAGTTTGTTTTTTTAATTAATATTATTTAGAATCAATTGCTGTTAGAGGTTAACTTTTATTGATTTTTTTTTTATAGAATACAATAACCAGTATTTTGTTCAATTTAACAGCTTTATCTAACAAACATGTGTTTTGTATGCATAAATTCTTTAAATAGTACATTCAACATGATTTTGCATGTGTACAAATTTTTTTTTTCTACCTCTTTACCTTTAGTTCTCCATTAAGGTGTGGTAGCTTAAGAGCTATTAGGTAATTAATTTACTAATTTACATCAATTTTTTTTCAGAATTTGTAAGGCTACAACATTTTTTCATTTGTTAATTACTTGTTAATTATTTCTAAAGAGTTAAACATTCAAGTTTTTGCAAAAAAAAAAAAAAAAGTAGCTTTTTTTTTTTTTTGAAAAACAAACTACTTTTTTAAAATTTTCATCATCTGTTTTATAGTCTGTTCCAATGGTTGTCTTTTTTATGTCTATAAAAATGATTAGAAAAACTAACTACTATGAATATCTTTCTTATGATTATCAATGTTATCAAAACCATATTTTATGTCTTCTCAGAGTTATCAGTTTGAAAAACGAACTACTTTTTTTAAATTTTTATTTTTCAAGAAAACATTTTAAAAAACATGGATGTTTTGATTTGTGAAATTTTGTAAAAGTGTAAATACTATAATGTACAAAATTTGATAGAAAAATCATAATTTTTTGGTCATTATAATTTGATTTTTTATGTGATTATATTTTTCACTTTGCAATACGCTTTTTGCCATTTATTTTAATTAATGCTGTTATTTTATATACATTTGTGCTGGATTTTTTTAAACATGACCCAAAAATGCATTGTAAATGTATCTAGATCAGCATTCACTGCCAGGCTTGAGTCTCTGTCTTACCATGGTAAGGTTGCATCTCTTTTTTTACAAATACTATCACAGCTCAAGCAAGTTATTATCTCTTGTTACATCAACTAACACCCCATCTTGCCTAACTTATCATTCAGCAAAGCTGAAACCTTTTATTTTAACTGCTCCTTCATGCTCAAAAAACTTGTATTCTTTCCCTTCTAGATGCTCCTTAATTCATACAATTTTTACTTTCTAGTAAAGAAGAGACTTTATATGAGAAGGTACTTTCTATTAAAGAAGTTTTGTCTAGTTTTCTCTCCTAATTTAGGCTTGTTTAAAAAAAAATACTTGAAAATAAAATATTGTTGTACTTCTATACATACATACATATATATATATATATATATATATATATATATATATATATATATATATATATATATATATACATATATATAAATATACATATATATATATAAATATATATATATATATGTATATATATATATATATATATATATATATATATATATATGTATATATAAATATATATATATATTTATATACATATATATGTATTTATATACATATATATATATATATATTTATATACATATATATATATATATATATATATATATATATATATATATATATATATATATATATATATATATATATATATATATATATATATATATATATATATATATATATATATATATATATATATATATATATATATATATATATATATATATATATATTAGGGCCCTGCAAAGCTTCAAAATTTCGAATCAAATCGAATCAAAAAAATGATTTGATTTTTGAAAATTCGAAAATTTTCAAAAATCGAATCTTTACTTACTAGCCCTATCGAAATAATGTTAGTTATCCTAAAACACCTTTTTAATCAGTCATTAAAAAGATTAACCAGGGCAAGAAGCAACAATGAAGAGATTATACAAATTTTTTTATTTTATTTTACTTTAAAATATGTAATTTTAAATAAAAAATGCTTAAATTTAGACTTCAAAATGTCAATTCGAAACATGATTCGAATCGCGAACCAAGACCTGCTTTGATTCGAGATTCGATTCAAAACAAAAACTGTCGATTCGCAGGGCCCTAATATATATATATATATATATATATATATATATATATATATATATATATATATATATATATTATAATAATAATAATAATAATATTTATTTGCATTAAAAAAAGAAACATTAAAATACAAAAGGGTGAGACAGGTAATCACAAGATTACGCTTATGTAACACCTGAACAAAGGCAATTTAATACAATACGCAACTTTGTTGTAAGTCGTAAGTTTGTAGTTTTTTTTTGAATATGAATAATGAAGATGAATCGACAATGTGAGCAGGCAATGAATTCCATATTTTTACAATTCTTTCACTGAAGAAAAATCTATGTGTATTGTTAGTACATTTATTGCATGAAATTTTTTTTTTCGTATGACTTTTAGTGGGTTTATGAGAATTGGAAAATGTAAAGAAATCGGAAAAAGAAAGGTCGACAAGATTGTTTATAATTTTGTAGGTCATAAAAAAATCGAATTTGACTCGCGGTGTTTAAGAGAATCGAGTTTTAAAACATATAGTCTTGATGCGTAATCATTGTAAGAAATATGGCATCTTTTACAGGTATTTCTACTGAAGTTTCTTTGGAAGTTTTCCATGCAACGTATATCTTTAAGAAGGTAAGGACTCCACACTGGGGTGCAAGATTCTAAGATTGGACGCACATAGACCTTGTAGGCTTTTAAGAGGAGATATGAATCATTACTGATAAAGGTTTTGAAAAGTAAATATAGACGGGCGTAAGCTTTTTTAGAAATACGAGAACAGTGTTTGGAAAATTTTGTGTCAGAAGATACCGTAATACCAATATCTTTATTACAGTTAACAGTCGTTATCGGGGTGTCCAGGCAAAACAAATACGAATGAACACTCAAAGACTTACTTCCAAAACATAAGTGGAAACATTTTTTGAATGCTATTTTTTGTTGCCAGTAAGCTGTCCAATCAGAGAACTTTTTTAATGATATTTTAAGGTCAGCATTGTTGTTTTCGTCTCTCGTTTGGTACAATTTGCTATCGCCAGCAAACAGCTTTATTCAACAATCACCTTCAATACAAGAAACTACATCATTAATAAATAATAAAAATAAAGTTGGAGCCCACACAGTTCCTTGGGGTATTCCACTCTTTACAGGTACGTAGTTTGAGTAAGAATTACCAATGCAAACACATTGGGATCAGTCAGTTAAAAAGTTGGTAATCCAATTTAGAAGTTCGTACTTAATGCCATAACAATTCAGTTTGTACACTAACTTAGAAAGCAATACAGAGTCAAAAGCCTTTTCGAAGTCAATATAGATAATATCAACTTCCTTTTTCTTGTTAACAGCTGAGGTCCATTCATTAAGAGAAGCTAACATCTGTGTACATGTAGGTCTACGCTTTAAGAACCCAAATTGGTGAATAGAGATAAAGTTATTAAGTTGAAGGTACCTTTTTAAACTATTATCAATAATTGAGTCCATAACTTTGCAACTAATACAAGTCATTGAAATGGGTCTGTAGTTCATAGATAAGGAGGGGTTACCTTTCTTGAAAATCGGACATACATATGCAGTTTTCCAAATATTCGAAATTACACCGGTTAACATTGACAACTCAAAAAGGAGAGAAAACGGGATGGCAATAATATTAGCAATTGATTTCAGGAATAAGGCAGGATACCCATCTGGTGATTTTGATGACTTTGGTGGAAGTTTTTGAAGAGCTGATAAAACAGAATCATAAGAAAATAAGACATTAATCAAAGAATTATCGTGGGATGGTAGGTCTAGCACAGGTTTAGTACCGTTGTCAGAGACAAACACTGAAGGAAAAAAATTTTTCAGAAGGCTCGATTTTTCACAGTCATCAGTACAAAGGGAACCGTCGGATCTTACCAGTGGCGCAACAGAATTTAAACAGTTAAATTTTGAATTGACGTAAGAATAAAATTGGGTTAAATTAGAGTTGTCTACTATGTATTTTTCTCGAGCAATACAGTTTTTTGTGATTTCAGCATCGTATAAAGGTGAACAATTCTATCTGTAGTTGATAAGAACAGAAAGGTTATGAGTTCTTTTATAAAGTCTGTACAAAGTACATCTTTTGGACGCTAATTTACGAACAGCAAGGGTTTGAACAAGCTTTTTTTTATTGCATAATGAAGGAACTTGAGAAGCAATAGATACACTCAGGACTTTACAAATAGCTTGCCAGAACGATTCAACGTCTGGGTTTTATTTGGCCGACATATACCAGTTTACGTTAAGTAAGTCGTTATTAATCGAAATATAGTCAGCTTTATAGAAAATGTGAATTAGATAGTTCATGGCTTGCCAAGTCTCTGTGATGAGGATGATGTCATGGTTGCCTTATTGGAGAAGGTTGTGTAGGTTTTCTAGCTTATTGTTCAGAGATCTTGCATTAAAATATGCACAATTTAACAAATATAAAATAAAACTGTAAACTCTGTAAAAATATAAGCGAACTAAAGCGTAGTTAAAATCTTATATATGACTATTATTATAATAATAATATATAAATAAGTATAATATAATAAAATATATATAAGTATATGAAATAAATCTAAGTATAGGTATATATTAAAATAGGTGTGCGAAGTACAACAAAACTATAATTGCAAAACACGAATAAAGATAATATACTATGATTTGAAAGTAGCAATAATTAATAAGCTAATATGATAAAGGAAATATATATATATATATATATATATATATATATATATATATATTTTTTATTCGTTTTGTTTTGACGTCGGAACTCATTCTACTGCTTTTTTTGTATTTTGTATTTTTTAACGGTTTTTTCTTGATTTGTATAATATATATGGCTGAAGATTGCCGATAGGCATGAAACTTTTAGTTCCATTATAAAGTTGTATTTTTCTATTTAATTACACTTTATTTATATATATTGATCTATTTTGTAAAAATTATTTTTACATTATATTGATCACTCTCAAGTAAACAAGAGGATTTGTATCTCAACCAGATACAATAATAAACAACAATATATATATATATATATATATATATATATATATATATATATATATATATATATATATATATATATATATATATATATATATATATATATATACATATTGAATTATTTTATAACAAAGTATAAAATAATGTTACTAATAAAAACAGACATGAAAATTATTCACAATTAAAAAAAAAAGCCATTACATTGAACATGTTAATCAAAAGCTGTGAAATATATTTAAGATAAATCTTTTTGGTTGAATGAGCTGCTGCAACTAATTGACCTATAAAAAAAAATTTATTAAATTTTTTTTTAGGTTTTTTTTTAATGTTTACTTTTAATTACTATTTAAATCAAAAATAACTTGTAACTTACAAGCAGCTTTAGGAAGACATAGATTAGCTAAAAGTGCTTGATGACATTCAGAATTACTTAATAAAGTCAACAGTATGTGTAAAGAATTACCAACTGCATCATTTTTAATGTGATTTATGGGTCTGTAAAATATCTAAAATAATTTAAATAAACTGTATTTGCAAAATATAAAGCTGTTTAAAACTTTTAAACATCAAATCCTAATATCAAATTCTACTTAACCTTTAGAGAATAGTTTTAAATTTTTAATGTTTTTTAATTTTCTTGCAAGCAACGTCTAGGTTTGAGCAGATGAATGTATAAAAATAAACTCAATGCTAACAATGCTGCAAGCAACCATTACTAAATTAAGACAAATAAAAAAGAATAGTGTTAAAGTGCAAGGAAACGATTGACAGAAGACTTTTAATGTTGTAGGTTATATGAGTTCAGGAAAACATGAAGATAGTAGAGAGTTTCAAAGGATTGAATTACATATTGTGCTTTATTGTTTGAGACTCAAAACCTATAAAACAATAGAACACAATCCATTTGATATTCATTGTGATCACCATTAAAATGTTTAAGAATAAAGTGGAACTAAAGTTTAGTTTAATATAAATAAATCCTTTATATGATAATAGTAAAAGTGCAAAATTTACAGGATCAAAATTTATCATCAGGTATGCTTTGGTCTAATGAATATTAGTTTTAATTCAAAAAATCTTCTATTTGATACTAGACCTTAAATTTTCTAAGAAACAATAAAAAATTTGAATTTTATATTTTCTTAATAAAAATTTAAAATAAATAGAAAGTTATAATATTAAAAAAATTACAAAATTTTAAAAATTTTGATGTTTATTAAAGTAGTGGAGAGTTGGTCCGCATAACACAATGTTTTGTTTAATATTTGCATTTTAATTTTTTTTTTTAAATGATCAGTGCAATTTATTGATTAAAAATTCTATCATTAAATTTAATTATATCAAATTTATTACTTTTAACATTAAATTAATTAATGAATAAAACTTGAAACTTGTACCAAAGTGCCCCAGTCATGATATACCTTGGTACCACTCATGGGCTTTTGGTACCACTCAAAGGTCAATAAAAGATGTAACTTGGAGAAACAGCAGGTTTTATTAAATGACAAACAAATCAAAAGTTACAACTAAATTAGCACAAAAGTTCAAACATTTTAAATAAACAGGTTAAAGTTGCTTTTATAACAAAAGTTCACACATTTTAAAAAAGCAGGTTAAAATTGCTTTTATAACAAAAGTTCACACATTTTAAAAAAGCAGGTTAAAAATTCTTTTTGTAACAAAAGTTCAAACTGTTAAAATAAGCATTTAAAAATTTTAAAAATCTTGTAGCAATTGGACCTTGTAGTAATTAACTCCAATAAATTTTGTAATATTCACTATAAACAAAAAACAAAGTGGATTTCAAGAACTACAGTTAAAGCCACAGTACCCAACCCCCAGACCAAACACCCAAAATGCTTCTATAAGTTACTTCTTGCTGATTGAAAACAATTTTAATGCTAATTTTTCTTTTAAATAACTACCTTTACTGAACTGAAGAGCTTATAAAATGTAATTTATAATGGTGTTAATGAATAGACATATTAATTATCAGATCTTAAAACTTTAAAAACTAATAAATTACTTTGTCATCAAAAGAAAACAAATTTCCACCCTTCACATGCCTGTAATTATGTAATAAGTTTTCATAAAAAACAGCTCTAATAGAATCTGTTTTCACTATATGGAAGCAGTTGTCATAACTCAGAATTATACACAGTACTTTGAAGTTTATTTATGCACAGTACTGCACAGTTTACTCAGGTACAGTGTGCACGGGTGACTTAGGCACGGTAGTTGCAATAGTTGTGTTATGCAAAGTAATACCTCTGTTCCATTGTCATACTCTTGCATTTCTTACTCTTTTTTACAAATGGTCAGTGTCACTTCTCAAGCAAACTATCATCACTTGTTCCATTAACCAAAATTCAATCTTGCCGACTCATTATTCAGCAAAGTTGCATGATTTTACTTTAACCTTTCATGCTCAAAAATTTTTTATTTATTAAAGAGACATTTAATGTAAATTATATTTACATTATTAATTTTAAGTAATTATGTGAAAACTGGTGATCTTTTGATGACAAATTAACTTATCACTTTTTAAAGTTTTAATGTTAACTAATTAATTATTATTATAACAATTATCAGATAATAATTATTAATAATAGTTATTAGATATACTGATTAATAAAATAAAGTAATTAGTTACATAATATAAATAATATTTAATAAGTAATTAAGTGCAAATTATTGAGGAAAAACTTTTTTTTTTTGGGAAGTTTGGTTCTGAAAATAAGAAGTTTCTTGTGTGAAATTTCTTTAAACACATCTTATGTGGTTAAAAAAAAAATTATTTATCAAAGAGTTTTTATAGTTTATAGTTTTTATATTATTATTATTTTTTTTTAATGAATATGAAAACACATTGCTGAAATATTCAAAAAAAATTTTAAATTGTCTCCAAAAGGTATTTACAAAATATTTTATTGAAAAATATTTTTTATAAGATGTAATATTGGAATAATATCAAAAATAGCCTTACTAAAGTAATACAAATGCCACTGGAAAAATAACTTGATTACTGGAATTGTTAAAAATATTATTGTATTCTTAAATCAGCTCAAACAAACAGGTTCGAATATGCCATTAACTGAAATAGGTACAATCATGTGTGCATTAATCAACGAGTAAGTAAGAATATTTGAATACATTTATATTGAAAAATTATTTATAATATTGTAAGATATCTATTTAGATATGCTATGTTACGTTATGTTAGATGTTATGTTATGGTTGTTTTTTTATAAATTTCTTTGATATCAACTGTTATTGTTAAATTTCACAATTTTTATAAGGAATATGAATTTTATAGAGACAAAATAATCAGGTTTAAGCCATTTATTTCTTTAAAAAAGCTTACCTTTTTTTTAAAAACTTTTTTTTTAAACTGGTTCTCATCTTCATTACACAGAAATTGAAGACTGTCTCTTTCAAAATCAGAATCAGTATTTGACTCATTTATAGAGAAAGCACTTAACTCACTTGAGGTGCCATCATTTAGGTTTGTAACTGATGCATCATGAGTATTATCATATCCTTGATGTGAATCTAAATAAAACTTAAATACTACAAAGAGCATAATTATGATGATAATTATATAAAGCATAATTATGATGATAATTGTAAAAAGCATAATTATGATAATTATATAAAGCATAATTACGATGATAATTATATAAAGCATAATTATGATGATTATTATATAAAGATAATTATGATAATTATATAAAGCATAATTATATATTGCATAATTATGATGATAGTTATATAAAGCATAACTATGATGATAATTATATAACTACGATGATAACTACATAACCAGGGCTCAATTTAATTTTTTATAAAGTCCCGGACAAAAAAAAAATTTTTTTAATAAAATAGTTTTAATTCAATATAATATATTTAAGTGATGTTTTTTTTTTTACAATTTGACAGCAGCCGTTTTGATCTTTCAACAATTTAAATGCAATTTAAAAAACTGTTACGTTACAAATAACTTTTAATTATTATTCTTTTTTAAAGTTTTTTTTTTTTTTTTTAAATAAAATCAAAAATTTATTATAATGATCATTTAAAACAAACACATTATGTGTAAATTAAATGTTATACTTAAATTTTTTTTAGTAGGTATGTATTTTTTATGATAATTTTAAACGGATGAAACTGTTATTCCATATCTTTTTAAAAATTTTCCAATTGATTATTTTTTTAAGTTACTCTAAATTATGTATAAGTTAAATTAAATCTAATTTAATTGTTTTATTTTTTTCTATTTTTACAAAGAATTGTTTAAATTTCTTTTTTTTAAACATGACTTACTAATCAACCCATGAAATGATTAAAAAATTAGAATTTTTTTTTTGCAACTTTTTGAAAAAAATGCTAATACAACTTAAAAAACTTAAATATTTTTTCAATAACTTAATTTCACATTTTAATAATTTAAATAAAATTTGTTCATTTATTAAACAATCAATAGAAGTAATTTGTAAAAGCATTTTGCATAACTTTAATGAAACGTTTCAAAAGATAAGTTTTAAAGTAATTATTTTCAAATGCAATTAAAAACATAACAAAAAGTAATTTTCACTTCGAGTTTTTTGAGTTTTACTTTAAAGCTAATTTATTTTCTTTTTCATAAGAAATTGTTTTATTTATTCCTTAGTTATTTCAATAATAAAGTATTAATTTTTAAGAATTCAATTTCCGTCGGCCAAACTGTCAGATTACTTTTTAAATTGATTGTACAATCTGACGTTTTAGCCGGACAATGTCTGACCATTACGTTGAGCCCTGCATAACACATAATTATGATCATTACATAACACATATTTATAATGATAATTACATGACACATAATTATGATCACTACATAATGTATAATTATGATGATTAATACATAACACATAACTATGATGATTACATAAAACATAATTATCAAATCCATTTTTTACTGTGTCTGTTCTTCTCAGCAAAAAGAAAAACATTGCCATTCATTTTTACATTTTGAGGAAGCAGAACTGAACTAGAACAAGACAATTGACTATTTGTACGTGATACCTCAGATTGAAGTATTGAGCGAGAATAAGATATTTCAAGTCCTGCAAAAGCTTCACATGTTGATTGAACTAAACGATTTTGCATTTCCTTTAATTCCTACAATGCACAATTTAAATAAAACTTACTATAAATAACTACAAATTTACTATATTCTATTAGAAATCTAAAAATTCGAAAATTTTAAACTGCAGAATATAGAGAGTTGCAATAATTGTCTGAAATATGCTAAAATCAAACAAATGTTAAAAACATACTAAAATATTTTTCGCATTAGTTACAAGAATAAAAAATGCCTCTTGCAAGAAGAACTAGATGATGTAATTCATATGGTGGAAGACCTTCCAATCTTCCTACCAACTTATGGTAATATTACAAGGTTTTTCTACAAGTTAAGAGATTTAGAAGGCAGTAAAAAAATCAGTATTTAAGTTTCTTTTAATTATTTTTACATATTTTTTTGTAATATAGTACAAAGGTATACTACATATATCTTTATACTATACTAAAAATACCTTTTAAATACTTTGTATTTAAAACGTATTTGTAATTTATATATATAGGAATCCAAACATATTTAAATAACTTTAGTGTTTTTTAATTCTCAAGTGTTCTAAATGCTAAATCTTAAATGTTAATGCAACTAAATGTAAAATTTACATTGTTATGAATTTTAATTTCTGAAAGTTTTGTTGTATTTTTGAATTTTTTTGTAGAGTTAAACTTTAATTTTTCTAATGTTAGTTTTGAACAATCTAACATTTAAAATATAAAAGCAATTAGTTATTATTGTTGTTTGATTTTTGTTCTACCTTTACGTTATACCATTTACCATTACTTTAGCTCAGGTCTTTATTATTACTTTAGCTCAGGTCTGCAACACAGTTTTAGCTTGTCTGCAACAAAGCAAAGAACTTTACTTTTCAGTAATATTATAAAGTTGGTATGTACTGTTAATTGTTATGTTACTGCTGATTTAGGTAACAATTTCTGTAACTAGTGTCACTTTTTGATTTTGACTATTTTAACTCTCTGAAATAATGTAATATTCTCCAATAATGAAATTCTTATACTATTTCTATAAAACTTGCAAATCTCTGCCATTTATTATATTATAAACATTTTTTTTATTACACAGTGGACCCAGTCAAAGTTTAAGAATCATAACTAATGATTAAAAAATCCTAGAAAACTCATGGAGGACTTTTTAGAAAGATATTTTTTTGTTGTTGTTTATAATAATTTAAAAAATTTTTAATATGAAACTAAATTTGTAGACTGGGTTCAAATTACCATATTTGAGCATTTTTGACAAATTAGTGTTTTTTGATAAATGTTTAAAGTTAAATTTCATTTCGATGATAGCTATAAGAGTAGTTTATTAGATAAACTTAAAGTAAAGAAAATTCAAAAATTTACTTTATATGAAGGTCAGGTTCTTATTGTTTATTCATAAGAAGTTTAGTACTTAAAAAAAAGTATTTGATAAAATTTGGGTTTAAAACAACATTAGTATAATAAAATTATAAGGAAAGAGTTCTAATGGTTAGATACCGCATATATTATATACATTTATTTAAAGATAAAAAGTAAAAACAGTAAAAAATGTTTTTCATATCTAATCATATATAACTTCATATATAACTTCATATCTAATCATATATAACTTCATATGTAACTTCATATCTAATCATATATAACTTCATATATAACCTCATATCTAATCATATATAAGGTTTTTAAACAGATCATCAAAACATCTCTTTGGTTTCAAAAACAGATATTTATGAGATCTGCTTGTATGTTCATTTGAAAAACAGTTTTGGCATAATTTTGGAGGATGCAAATGAATAACTCTGTTTAAAACACCAGGATCAGATCTCTCTAAAAGACTTTTGAATACTTCAAATTTACTACTCATCTGTAACCTGTTCTAAATGTCTTGCAAGGAAAAAGAAGTCAAAAAAACCTTATAACTAGTTAAGATTCAACTCTATTTATTAGTGGTAAAGTTGTTTAAATAATTCTGTACATTTATTAAAGTTGTTTAAATAATTGACAAGTTTCTTTGTTTTGAAAAACACGGTTCTGTTATGTAAGCCTCCACTATTTTATAAATAATATCTTTTCATGCTTGTGAAAGTATAAATACAAAAAATATAAATATTTTTCTTGAAATCTGTTTCTTTCAGGTGTTTATAACACTTCCATGCTTTTTCACACACATTTTCCAACTATTAACTGATTTAACTGTTCAACGTTTTTGAAAAGAATTTCTTTAATGACTGAATATGTGAGTTTTAACAGCTTTAATTTAAAAAAATAACAGTTTTGTTAGCTTTAATAAATTGTGCAGAAAAATCTATTACAGTGATATATTTTACATTTTTATTATCCTCCATTACATTAATTTTTTAGTTTACTTATGCTAAAACACAAACAAAATAAAATTATATAGATAATTAAAATTTAAACATTCTTCAGATTTGTAACCATAAACAAAATCTTCACATATTTTTAGGAAAAAAAACTGTTTCCCTGCTCAAACTTTTAAAATCATGTAAATAAAAAAAGTGCTAACTTGCCATTACAATATTTTAAAAGAAGAAATGTTAATTATTTTAATAACGCATGCCACAGTAGAGGAAAGTTAGCACACAATAGAGGCAAGTAGCACACAGTAGAGGCAAGTTAGCACTTTTGATAAAACTTAAGATTTAATCTGGGTTTTTTTTTGTTAAAAAAAAACAACACAAATAAACAACAAAAAACAACACAAATTAACAACAAAAAACAACACAAATTAACAACAAAAAACAACACAAATTAACAACAAAAAACAACACAAATTAACAACAAAAAACAACACAAATTAACAACAAAAAACAACACAAATTAACAACAAAAAACAACTCAAATTAACAACTAAAAACAACACAAATTAACAACAAAAAACAACACAAATTAACAACAAAAAACAACTCAAATTAACAACAAAAAACAACACAAATTAACAACAAAGTTGCCTAATTAAATCGAGAAACACACAAAACAATGTAATTAAAACAAATTTTACACGTTTTAAATAAATTTGTTCAAAAATATATTCTATAATTTAAATTAAAAAAACAACTTTTACATAAGCTGTTTACTAATTTTCATGTTGGCAAAATCATTTTAAATGAAAACCATCTGAATTTATTAAATATTTTTAGATAAATAAAAAATTTGAAATTTTTTTATTTATCAAAATTACATATATATGTAATTTTAATAAATAAAAAATTTTCAAATTTTTTATGTGACAATATATATTGTCACTTTTAAGTGACAATATTTATTGTAACTTAGAAATTAACTAGTTTTTTTAATAATCTTTTTTTTTTATATATCCACAAATTTGCAAATAATATATTGCAAAAAAATATTTTTTATCTATTTCAACTTCTGGGTCCTCTGTGTGTTATTAAAACATTTATTACTAATAAGGGGTTGTCCATAAAGTACATACACTTTTTTTTTAGTTGATCTTCTCCCCCCCCCCTCCCCCCTGCATTTTGCAATACGCTTTTTTGAGTACCCTCCACCTCCCTAAAAGTACCTACGCTTTTAACCTATTTATCTAACCTATTTATATACGCTTATTTATCTTTATTTATCTAACCTATTTATCTACGCTTTTAACCTATTTACCTAACATTTTATGATATTTTTTTAAATTTAGTGTCTCCTTTCTTTTATAATTGACCTACTGCCCTCCCATCTCATTTATGCCATTTGCAGACCCCTTCTTGCCCTCTGAGCGTAATTCTACTTTACGGATGATTCCTAAAAATGATTTGAATGTATTCTTAAATATATTTCTTTAGAGTATAATTAAAAATGGAAACTACATCTTTATATCTTATTCAATGTTGCACTTGAAAAACGTTAAATATTTTCAAGTAAAATTTTCACAAAAATTTAATGATTTGAAGAATTAACAAAAAACAATAAGAATAAGATTTAGACCTAAAAGAGTTGGAGTTCATACAACAAAGCTATTTTGAATATTGTCAAAACCATTGTTAAACTAATACTTCAGCTATTTTTTATATTATTTAAAAAACAAATTTTTTAGCTATGAACTACATATCTTAATAATGGTCAATTAAAAACCTTAAGAACACCTCAAACCTTAGCGAATCTAATAGATTTAATTAGTTTTGCAAAAAACTATAGTAAAAAAACAAATATGTATTTCCTTCAACAAAAAATTAGGAGTTTTTTTCTTTTTTTCTAAATAAACATGAATTTAATGTTTAATAACAAATTATACAAAATGTTCCCCCTAATTCTAGTAAATACATACACACATTCAACATTTTTTAATATTTTTAGATTTATTCTTACTATATTAATATCAATTGGACGAATTCCATCTAAATTATTATCTTCAATTCGTGCTCCATGTTCAATTAAAATATATGAAAGCTCAAGTTTTTGCATACTGCCAGCACAAAGATGTAGAGGTGTTTGGCTAAATAACAAAACACATTTGAGAGTCAAAATCAAAACTTAGTCAATTTAAAATATACTTATCAAAAAATATTTATTAAGAAATCTAATGATAATATAAATTTGAAGTATTAAAAAGTCTTTTGGAATCTTAAAAAAGTCAAATGTATCTTTATTTAACATTTTGATAATAAAAAATAATTTCCATATTGGAATGCATTCGCTATTTATTATTCGAAACAATTAAATTTTTTTCCAAATAAAATAAACTTATGAGAACTTTAATTACAACTTAAGAATCTTTGAAAAAAACAAAGTTAATTTAAAGAACTGAAATTGGTTTAAACATATTTTCAAACTTTTTAACTTAGATTTATAAGACTAATAAATAAAAAATAAATTAAATTAAAAAAACAAACAAACAACAAATGAACTTCTATTTTTTAAACACTAATGTTCAATCAAAAAGGATATTCCTTTTTGATTGAACATTAGTAGTTAATCATTATTACATTTTTGTAATAATGATTAACTACTAAACAACTAAATTTATTTGAATTAAAATTCACTTGGATTTCTGTGAGCTCCAAGCTGCTAAAAAAGAGAAAATGCATTCAAGATCAACTCCTGGGCAATCAAAAAATAATGGGATATTTTTTAAGACTGGAGTTTCAGCAATAGAGCCACTTTTTTAAGTAAGTTTGTAAGGAAGAAAGTTAATATAAATAAAAAAATAATATGAAAATAAAAATAAAAAAATAATATGAAAAGTTAATATAAATAAAAAAATGAAAATAAAAGAAACCTTGTAGTACTCCAGAGATTTCTGGAAATTTTAACTTTGCAATTAGAAAATAATGATTTAATAATTTTAAAAGATTTCCAGGACAACTTTTGATATGTCCTGAGCAACAGCCCTTGCCTCACTTCCATCTAATGCACAACAAAACTTTCTGTTACTATGTTAACAAGTCAGCAATATAATTAAAGGAATAAAATGTTGATTGATTGTAATAAACTATTAGACTCAAAATGAGATATTAGAAGTTTGTTAAATAAAGACTCAAAGAATTAGCTAAAAATAATAACAGAAGTGAAGGTAGGTGATTTGGAAACGTTTAAGCTGCTTCTAGACAATTATCAAAAAAATGAATGGCTTCTCTATGACTAATCCACATTTTATTTTTCTATTAGTTATACAAACTCTGTAATTGTCAAGTATTATACAACAAGGTTGACAGGCAGTTTATGTCTATACAATTTATTCTAAAACCTTTATGTTAAAAAGAAAAAAAAAATGATAAGTAGTAATGATTTACAACTAACTCAAAATTAATTATATATTTTTGTTCTTTCTAATGTTATTCTTTTTGCAATTTTAATGTCTGGAAACATAAAACATAACTATTATGTTTCTAGAAAAATTGTTTACTACTAAACACTAAACAATTGCCTAATGTTAGCAGATACATTGTTTGACAATCAGTTGTTAGTACTCGATGTTAGCAGATACATTGTTTGACAATCAGTTGTTAGTACTCATTTAATTTTGAACTTTATTGAATGCAACAACTGAAAATATTTTGAACTGTCAGCAGTAGCATTGGTGTAATTGTAGAATTTTTTAAAACAGGTTTGTAAAAGTGACTCCTGGATTTAGCTAAAATATTTATTTAGTGCATTTTTACTTTCATTATGACTTTTAAACACCTAAAATTTTTTATATGTTAAGTATGTTAAGATAAATGTTTTGCAATAACTGATATATCTGGCAAAATTATATCAGTCTTGAAAAACCATATTCTTTCTGTCTTGAAAAACCATATGTATATCTTTATATTCTGGGTAAGTAAATATAATTTAATTATAAAAAGATTTTTTTTGGAATAGAAACAAATTTTTTAGGGCTGGGATCATAACTAATTAAAATTATTGTTAAAAATTTGATAAAAAATTATTTTATTACAATTGGAAAAAATTTCCTGGAATTTATGCTCTTTCCAGGTTTTCCAGGTTGTGACAACCATGTAATACAAGCATTTACAGTAAATTAGTATTAATTAGTTGAAACTACTGTTCTATTCTATAATTTAAATTTTTTAGTAAATTGCTACAGTCACTTTGCATTTACAAACATAAACTTTTCATTTTATACTTTTTAAATATACTAACTAAGATTGGTCTTTGGCTCGGACATTTGCTCCATAATCAAGCAATATTCTTGCAATGGAGGTATAACCAAGAAATGCAGCCATATGAAGTGGAGTTTGATCTTTGGGACCTTCTATATTTACATCCATACCTCTGTAAAATAAAATAACTGGATATTACATAAGTATTATTGTATTAGTAACATTATATATATATATATATATATATATATATATATATATATATATATATATATATATATATATATATATATATATATATGTGTATATATATATATATATATATATATATATATATATATATATATATATATATATATATATATATATATATATATATATATATATATATATATATATATATATATATATATATATGGGCAATTCTGCAAGAGTGGCGGTCATAACATTTGGCATTCTTTAAGCTATTTAAAATGAACCGAAAATGGAAATGATTTGAAACTTTCCAGAAATGTGAAATACTATCATATTATGTACTGATAAAAGTTTCAGCATAAAGTCTTCAACTTTTTTCAAAAACTCTACATAGCACGACGATCATAATGCTTACATTTTAACACTTCTGAACAAAACAACTTTGTCAGATTTATTAAATCTGACAAAGACATGGTAAAAAAAAAAATCATTTGGTGCGTGTATTTAGCACATATTGATGTTATTGTATGCTAAGTTTCATAGTTGCTTAAAAAATGTAAAAATGCTTGAAGTTTTACAAGCATTTTTACATTTTTTCTGTCATAACGGTCGTAACCATGATGGTAGTAACAAAAAATCCAATGCTTAAATGTTTTTGGATTTTTTGAATAAAAAATCTAATGCTTAAAAAAACAAACAATGCAATCAATGCAAATTAAACAATGCAATCAATGATTTAAAAAAAAAGTATAAATGATTATTAACAATCATGTATAATATGCTAAAAAAATGTAATATAACATTATCAAAGTTCTTAATTATGGGTATATGATAATGATTTTTTTAAATAACTTTTTTGTTTAAAAGTATTTTCAAATAGTTAAAAAAAAAAGGTTTTGGAGTTTAGTATGTTGTTTCATAATTTTTTCGCTTTTTTTTTCTTTCTCATGGAATTGCCCAAATATATATATATATAGAAAATAGAAAGCAGAAAAATGTACTGAACTGAACTTATTTAAAAAAAACTTCAATAAATTTAATGCAGCTCTTAGTAACATTGTTTTAAGACTGCATGGTCTTAAAACAATGTTATAATATTTTTAATTAAACAAAAATAGATGCAAATCACAAAAAAATTAAAAAAAACTATTTATATGTAAAAGGATTCCTAAGATAAAACTTTTTAAATATTCTTCAAATGAAATTAAAAACAATTAACATTGTTTTTAAAAGCCATAATTCTATTCCTTTACACATTAAAGTCATTAAAACTTGCTATTCAAACAAAAAAGTTTATTAAAGTAATACTTAATAAATGAAAATACTTTTTTTACATTTTCATCTGTTAAAAATGGGATTATAATTTCATTAATTAAAAACCTGATGTTCTTATTATATTTTTATGTTAGAAATGTTAAACATTTTGTATTACTCTTAAACAACATTTTTTTAAAGAATCTAATATATGAAATTCTTTTTTCAATATTTTTCATAAAATCAGTATTTAATATCATGAAATATTCAATGTCATAACATTTTTTCTTTACCAAAATCTAAACGACAATCAGAGTATTGATCTCATAAAAAATTTACTTCAATTTCTTCTTCCATATCATCACTAACCAAATTTTCAATACTATCAAACAAAATAAAATTTCACATTTCATTAAGAATAACTTTAGGTATATAAACACAATCCATTACTTCTAAATGCAGCCTTTTTGTTGCAGGTGATCAGTAATAACTTTAGATTTACTATTTGCTATGATCACCATTTCATCAACAGCCACAATATTTGACAATATTTCATTTACAGATTCTTTTACAGCAAATTGCCAAACAGTTCTTGTTTTGTTATATATTTCTTTCTAGAAATACTGTTTTCTTCGTAATTTGTAATTGATCCTGATTTAGATATCAATATCTTATGTCATAGTTGATTAATGTCAAAATTGTTAGTCATATCAGTTGAACTTTTCCATTAATGCCATTAATGCACTTACCTCATGTAGCTTCACCAAGATTTTTGCTAAAAAAACTTCTATATCTCAGATTTTTTTGATGTGGCTAAAGCTAAAAATTTCATAGATGTAATTATGTAGGCAAATCTCACAAATTTTAATTTCTGCCTAAAATTATGCAATTTCTGCCTAAAATTATGCATTTTTATCAGAAAATGTTTTTATTATTAAAACAAATAAAAATTATAACAATTTTAAGTATTAATAATGATTATGTAACACTTATACATTTTTAAATTTAAAAACATTTGTAAGCAACTTGAATAACCAACTGTGCCCTAAAAACCAACTAAAACTTAAAACACTAAATAAAAACCAAATATTTTTGTTTCTCTGCATAAAAGCTGTATAGGAATGTTGAGAATTTTATTATTTATTTTTTTTTTAATTCTTTTTATTAACAATATATTCTTTTTAATTTGAAATGGAGATAGTAGATTAAGAACTTGTGAACTATATGTAACAGCCAAATGACATACCATTAGAGTCTATTCTAGGAAAATAATTCAGGGGGCAGTACCCTTATGCTGCACTTTTGCCCCCTTGCCAAAAAATCTAAAGAAGAGATCACAGGAATTATAAAATGTGTAAATAAACAACAATTTGTTTATTCCTTTTATAAGTTTAAAAAAAAATTTGTGTTTAAAGGTGTTTAAAGGTGTTTAAAGGTGTTTAAAGGTGTTTAAATGGTTTAATAGGTAAAATTTCTAATAAAATGTTTATTCAACCTTGTCCATTGGAACTTAAAAAAAAGCAAGTTTTAAAATTAATAAAATTTATTCATTTAACAGTTACAAAAAAAAATTTGACATCCTGAATTTACTATAACTTGAATGTTTGAATTAATAAATACATCTTTGGTGGTACCAATCTTAATGACTACATCTTTACAATCTTTGCAACAATTTATTTTAATTAGCTGAATAAAAGTTTAAATTGATGTAATATTTTTTGGTATATGCATTATTTATGTACACATTTAATGAATAAATAAATTTATTTAATAAGGAAACTTTTTTAGATTATTTATTTAGAAAATAAATTGATAAAGAAAATGAAAAAAAACTATAGAGTAAAAAAAAGTAGAATGAAATAAAAAATATAAAGGATAGAAATAGAGGATACAATAAAATAGTTATGAAAATTCTTTTGCTTATTTATTGAATTAACATTTTGCCTATATTTTTTGATAATATTGTAGAGAATCTTTTTCTGAATAAGATGATACATAATTTTAATTCAAAAGAAACAATTTTTTTGATAAAGTTTCGAATTCTTGGCACATAATAACTTTTTTCTCTTTTTTTTTTTTTTTAAATGGGCATAAAACTCCTGAAAGCCAAACTAGAATATGATAAAATCTATTCAAATATCATTTATACCTCAAAAAAACTTTCATGCAAAGAAAAAAAAAACATACACTGAAGAGCAAGTCACACTGATAATTAGCTTTTTGGTGTATTTAATATGTTTGAAACACCGCCATCTCAAGCTAAGCTTCATCATCTAAGCCAATAAAATCTATGCCAGTACCACTACAATCAACAACAAACTAACTACACTATCTCAGCCATACCTTATGTATCTTCATTCTACAGTCTGTGGCTTTTTTTTATTTAATTGTTCTTTTATTTACCCATTGATTTACCTATTTCTGCATAACAACAATACTATAATTACATTTTATAAATAACATTAATCTGAAAATATATATATATATATATATATATATATATATATATATATATATATATATATATATATATATATATATATATATATATATATATATATATATATATATATATATATATATGTATATATATATATATATGTGTATATATATATATTTATAAATTTATATATATATATATATATATATATATATATATATATATATATATATATATATATATATATATATATATATATATATATATATATATATATATATACAAATACATTATATAAATTATGTCAACTAGTTTATATTGAAATTAGGGTGGCAACTAGATCAGTCCTCAAATACATTCTATGCTGTCAAAAAAGGTCTAGAATAGACCCTCATCAAGTTATTGGTTTTTGGCGTGCTGTTGGTCTTTTACATGACTTTCTTGGATTGATGCCATCTATTGATGATATCATGAAAAGTAATTTAAAGCAATTGCAAAAGTAATCATAATGATTTATTTTAACAAAAAAATTATCATTTTTTTGCTATAATCAATCACGCATAAATACTGCCTGTTCAAATCTTGTATCAAAAATGGTATATCAAAAACAAAAAAAATGGTATATCAAAAACAAAAAAAATGGTATATCAAAAACAAAAACAATGGTATATCAAAAACAAAAAAAATGGTATATCAAAAACAAAAAAAATGGTATATCAAAAACAAAAACAATGGTATATCAAAAACAAAAAAAATGGTATATCAAAAACAAAAAAAATGGTATATCAAAAACAAAAAAAATGGTATATCAAAAACAAAAAAAATGGTATATCAAAAACAAAAAAAATGGTATATCAAAAACAAAAAAAATGGTATATCAAAAACAAAAAAAATGGTATATCTAAAACAAAAAAAATGGTATATCAAAAACAAAAAAAATGGTATATCAAAAAGTTTTATTTAAATTAGTTAAAGGATAATGAAATAAACCAACAAACAAAAATAAATAAATAAACAATATTTTTTTAGTATTCACAAACTGATAATTTAAAACCTTTTTAATAACAGTTCCACAATTTTTCCATCATCTGCTTTGACAGCATAATGCAAAAGACTATGGCATCTTTTATCAAGTACAGTGAGCAAAGCATCTTCATCAAAGAACTTAGAAACATGGTACAAATCATGTCTAAAAGAAAATATTGAGTTTAACTCTTTACTCATAAACATCTTTTAAAAACAACATTTAGGCCAAATATGTTTTAAAAAAGATAAATAATTATATGCAAATAATATATTTTAGTATTATTTCTTACACTATGAACTAGAGTGATACAAATGTTAATCATGTCAACACCAAATTTTACTGTAGCATCAATGTTAGATACTATAGTATCTATGTTTTGGAAAAGATAAAAGTGTTTATGTAATTAATAATAATGATTATTATAACAGTGATATATAATAATGATATGTATTGGGGTAGTTAATAATTTATGCTAAAATGGAATAGTAACGATTCCTATTCACAGTATCAAGTTTGATATGAATTTAACCTAAAATATATACTCTTTAAAAAAAGAGGCACAAGTTGTAGGAAGTCAAAAGAAGTTAATTATTAACAAAAATGTAAATTAAAAATTGAGAAAATTAATAAAAAGTACAAAGTTCTTAGATAAATGATATTACATTAAAAATATTCAACTACTGCAAAATTTTAAAATATAATGTATTATTTTAAAATTCTGCAGAAGTTGAAATATATAATTTATTACAATAAACTTTTAAAAATTTGTTTAACAAAAATTCACTACAACAGAGATGCAAACCACTATTAAAATTAGAACTTACAAAAGCAAAGAAGATAGTTAAATGGTAAGAAAAGAGTTGACAGACTTAAAAAAACAGTTGATAGAGTACATGCTAGTGACAGAGACAAGTCACAAATCAATAAAAAAAGGTAAGTGATTAGGGTTGTTTGAAAAACTTGTCAAAAATTTGAATACCTGAGTAAAAGAAAAGTTTTAAGTTTTTTATGCCAGCATAGTTAGTTATTATTGTAGCCAAGCCATTCAGTGTGATGAGCAACAAATTGGTGAAATAATACAACTGTATACATTTATCAATTTCTTTAGAAATCAAAGGATAACAGCTAGCATTTAAAAAACAAAGATTAAGCTAATCTTAAACTAGTCTCACAAAGAGTCTACATGTGAGTAAGTCTACAAATGAGTAAATCTACGTGCTTTTTCTGAGACTAATTTAAGATTCAAAGAATGAAAAGTTAAGATAATTTAGATTTATTTATTTATAATTAACTTATGTTGTTATTCTGTTTTTGACATATTAAGGTGTTCTTATGTGCTCTCACATCAGAATCAAATTGAATTCAAATGAACAGTATAGGTCATAGAATAAATAATTGTCAAATAAATCTTCATACGAACATTCACTAAAAAAGTTTGTGTGAAGGGTTATAACAAAAACAGATAAAAATCTTTATTGTGTTTTCTAGTATAGTGTTCAAAATACATCAGATGCATCTGAAACTCATAGAAACTTAGGAAACACATTTTTGTTTTGTTTAGATATCTATCAAAACACTAAACTATTCATCAATACCCTTAAAAAAAACTTTATTTAGACAGATTGGTATGCTAGTATGCAGTACTAAAAGTAGAGCGCATGGTTTATAGACATAATGTCAGTATTTGGTTAGTATAAAGCTTTGAAAAGTTAAATAACACTTTAACCTGTTAAAAAATTTTATTTATATATTGCAAGGTTGCAAAGCACAAAATATTGTTTTTTGAAAATTCCCAAAAAGTTGAGCGTTTTTACAGTTATCTTTCAATTTTTGGGAAACAAAAATTGTAAACTAGTTATTTTTACTTATCAATTAAAAGCTTTATTTTTCATTTGTTCAATTGCTTAATAAAAAAATAAATAAAATAAATCTTTTTGCATGTTTTGCAACAAAACAAACTATGTATATCTATATTATGTCTTTTTGCATGTTTTGTGATAAAACAAACTATAATGGCATAGAAAGGTAAATAAAAAATTATTATTGGGCTTAATAAAATTTATACACTGTAGTTTTGTTGTATGTATTTTAGTAAAAGATGTGGTAGGAAATACAAATTGAAATAACATTTTTCCATGCACAAATATAATTTTAGTGTAGACACAGAATATATAATTTTTGCTACCAATCATTGTAAATCACTGTAAAGTAGTACAGTTAAACAAGTAATAGTAAAAAGCTACTAACAACAAAATTTTGGATATTCTATTATAAATACTATTAACAGCAGATTTTGGATATTCAGAGTAAGAAAGTTTTCAACATCAAACCAAATGAAGAAAGTTAAAAGATTTCAATGTAGCTTTAATGTTTAACTACAATACCAGATTTTGGTGGTTTTCATAATTTATTATACAAATAATAATGTATTCTTTTTTCTTTTCCTTTCAATACACAAGTAAAAATGCAAAAAAAAATGTATTAAAATCAATTTAAAAACTATTTATTTATTTTTATCTTTCTAAAACACCTCCCCAAGAATCCACAGGGCTACTACCATAAAGGATGCTTCTTAATTTTTTATTTTTATTATTTGTTTTTATTAGCAGCTCTTGTTTAATCTTATACTCCAAAACACAAACCTTGTTAAACTCCAAAACACAAACCTTGTTAAACTCAAAAAGACGAACCTTGTTAAATTCGAAAACGGAACCTTGTTTAACTCCAAAACACAAACCTTGTTAAAATCCAAAACAAGAAGCTTGTTAAACTCCAAAACAAGAACCTTGTTAAACAAAGTCACTGCACAGAGAAACTTCCACTATTTCCAGAGGATTTATACCTCAAAACTCTTGACCATGAGCCAAGTGATCTATCACTAATCTACTACCACATTATAATGATTATTAGTAACAACCATCTCAATAAGATAAGCAAATTTTAAAAAATATTTTTTTTTCATTTGTTAACTAATATTTAACTAAACTATTTAAATTTGATACATGTTTACCATGTTTAATTTTTGTTTAAAACAATTTGACAGCAATTTTGACTATTTTACATCTAGGTAAAATAAATATATAAATAAAAATAAATATTTAGTGTTATGATTTTTGTTAAAAATTTTCAATTATTAGATTTGAAGAATATTTTGGCATACAGTGACAGCTTTTCTAAAAATTAAAATATTTTTTATAACTATTAACAACAATGAGCGACATAAAAACAAGCAAATAAAACAAAAAATATAAATATAAATAATGGAAAAAATAATGAAAATTAAATAAAAAATTGAAGTGCTTTTTCCCAAAGTCTACAAATGCATTGATTGTTTAAAAATACCTCTGCTATAAAAATCAAAAGACTTAAGCATTCCTGTTACAAACATAAAACTTATTTTAAAAATATCTAACCTTTTAATAGCTCTTAAGGTTTGCGCAAAAAGATCTTCAAATCTAAATTTGATAATACTTACAAACAATCTCTTTTTAATTTCTTTTTTCTATTTAAAAAAATAACATTCTAATAAAAGTATAAAATTTATAAATGCTAAAAGTAATAACTATACCCATTACAACTTGTAAAAGTATCAGACTCGTCATCTGATACAGGACGATCACTGAAATCTGTGTCATAAGAAGTTGATTGGTAAACATCATCAGTTGAGCTTGATGTCTTATGAACAGGCTCCTATAAGTAAATTCATACTTTTTTATATTACAAAAGTTTTCATCTTTTTCTAAAATTTTCACATTTTATATTGAGAAAATCTTAGAAAAAGATGAAAACTTATATTTAGTTTTTACAAATTTACTGTATATTCAAAAGAAGTTTTATCAAGATGAAATAAGACATTGTACTTTTTTTGAAAGAAAAAAAAAAAAGATGTTGTTAGGTTAAATCAGTACTAAGATACTAATCATCATTACCATGTTTACGTGGATTACCATGTTACCGTGGTTATGTGGTATTGCTTTGATTGGATAATACTAATTTACTCTAGCTCAGATATTTATTTTGAAAACATCATTTAGTTAGATTTATAGTTCATTACATTTAAGAGTTCATTAAATTTTTCTAAAACTACTAATTTTAGGAATATGAAAATACAACAGCAAATTAGAAAGTTAGAAAAATTTTAACACTGAATCTAAACTTTACCACTTTTATACAGAGTAGTTATCAGCAACGTGCAAAAAAATGCAAAAAAAATTTATTTACAAATTACTTTTTATTAAGATTTTTAATTAACAGCACTGTCTTAATATAATTTGTTAACTTTTAACCAACTTTAACCCAGACATCTTTTCAGGTAAAAAAAAATTAAGAAAAGTTAAGAAAATATTTCTAATAATTTTTTGTCCATATGTATGCATAACAGTATGTAATGCCAAAAACATTTTTCACATAATGTAATCTTCTGTAACTTATACTAAACTTAAATTTGATTAATGAAAATAACAAGATTCAAATGTTGCACAACTTGTTGCATTTCCTTACAATGTGTAAATAATTAATATTTAGAATGTTTAATTAAGTAAATACTCCGGTAATTTACTTAATTAAACATTCTAAATATCATTGGCATTAATTTACTTAATTAAACATTCTACATTTAGAATGTTTAATTAATTAAATAAATGCCAATGAATATATATATATATATATATATATATATATATATATATATATATATATATATATATATTAATTTTATACTATTTTTTTTTTTTAATTCACCTCCTCAAGGCCAAAAAGGCCACTACAGACGAGGAGGCTACTTATTTGTGGTTATAACTCTCTCTCAACTCTATAACTCCGAAACACAAACCTTGACGAATAAGACTGCTGCGCGGAGAAACGAGTTGTTATTACGTTGTTACGAGAATTATTATTAATATATAATTGTATTAATATATTTTATATATTAATAATAATAATAAATAATAAATTTATTATTTGCCTCAGAATGATTTGAACAGCTCGCATCATTTTGTGATCCAGCTTCATATAAATCTAAATGATCTTCTGATTTCAAAGTGGGAAGAATTCCTGATTTATTATGTCTTCGAGAAATATTTTCAAATTCTCTAGTTGTATCAGTTGTATCAGATCTGATCCGCAAGTAGCGTAACTTCTCTTCAGAATGAGACCAACGGTCATCAATTCCACATTCAATTTTTCGAAGATCTTTTGCCACACAACGAAATGAAAGTGCAATGGCTCTTGTAATAGAATAAACCTTTAAGTAAAAAATGAGTATAAAATATTTTAGTGTTAGTAGTGTAAATTATATACATTATAGTATAATATATTACATATCTGAAAGTATTATGTATTAAACTGTATATTATTATATAGTACTATATATTAAACTATGTATACCATAGTATTATATATCAAGATATTTAAGTGTTGATTTAATTCATAATTTGGTTTAGAAAAAAATATATTCAGTTCTTCAAATTATTTTCTATTTTACACATTTCAAAAGTTTGACTTGAAAATTTTGTTTTCAATGTTTTTAGCAACAAATATTTTGACACAATGGCACAGTTGGATTTTGTTTATATGCAAAGCAGATAAGCTCTACATATTTCTTTATATATTATTTAAACAAAACTATTTCTTTAAACAAAATTTAGTCTTTAACTATAGTTTAATTGAGGTGACAGCATAGATCTTAAAATGTGGATGTTTTAATTTAGAAAACTATTTAAGCTTCATTCTTTAAATGACATCAATTTTCTTTTTTCTTTTTGTTATCAAAACAATTATTAGGGAAGACCAAATAGATCCCAATGCAGGGAGACAATAGTTTTAATTCTACTACCCTGTTGGCACTCAGAATTGTAAAGTGTGTTAATGTAATAAAAAAAAGGTGAAAATGTGCTCAGGTGATAAAAAGCCTATAGAAATCCCAGAAGTAACCTTATCTTTCCAAATTTTTAACTAAAAAAATACGTTATTGATATGTTTTAGTTACTTTACATAAGAATGTAAAGTAGCTAAAACATATCAATACTTTTTTACATAAGAAATTTTTTTAATGTACCTGTACAAAAAGGTTTTATAAAAATTACTTTCTAAGCTTTTTTTAATGTAACAAAGTACTTAACAATAAGCTCAAGTAATAAATGGATTCCAAAATTTGATTAACATTTCTGAGAAGTATAAGTATAAAAATGTGGAAGAAAAAGGTAAAAGGTCTGAAGAGTCCTTTTATCCTTCTAAATGTAGTAAAAATTGCCCTTTACATTGTCATTTTACTTTTTTTCCCTTTTTAAATATAAATCAAGACTTAAATTAGTCTACTAGTCATTGACAATGAATAATGCAATGACTGAGTTGACCTTATTTCAGCAATCAACTAGGTTCATAAGTTAGTTGTAGGAAGGGAAAATGGAGATCTTCTACATGATTTAAATGTGGTTATAGAAGATGCTGAAGCCTATAAACCATGATGCACAGAAAAATATTACAAAAATAATGGCTTTTGAGCAACTTGATGAGGAAACTAGATTGTGGCTGAAAGATTTTTGTCAAAAAAATTTGCCAGCTATATTCTGTGAAAGCCAAAAAGTTTTAAAAAATTCTGAAAAAAAAGAAATGACTTTACATGTTGATATCTTTTTTTTTCATGAAAATGAGAAAAAATAATTATTTTACTGCTGTAATAGATGTGAGCGAACCCTAGTTGATTTACTCTGTCTTGGTAAAGCTGTTTTGGCTAAAGTTAAAAATGATTTTTCTAATTTAAAAAATCTTTATGCTAAATTAGATAATGCATCAACTTAACAACTCTTCCTTAAAAAGTATGATTACAATGAACCGTTAGTTGAAAAAGATTAACTTGGTAAAGAGTCAGCAGGAGTGTAATGTATCATCAGGAATTTTGCTGATGCTGAAATCAATTTTTTGACTGCAGAATATTTTTATGGGGTTCTTCATCATTGCAAATGAATTTAAAACGCTGATGTCACTGTAGTTACAAAGCATCTTTTTTATCAAGATCAAATGTGATTTCCAATATAAGCAACTATCATTCTTTTCAGTTTATCCCCAACCACGTATATCTTTAGTAAAGGTATACATGATCAGGGATAAACATCTCCAATGTGTAGATACTTCCGAATCGGTAAAGGCTTTACCGATTCAAAAGTATCTCAGTAAAGGCTTTACCGATTCAGAAGTATCAAGTGAATGCTGCTACATCGACTGAGGGCTTGGGTTGGGGCAGGTATAGATCAATTGATGTAGCAGCACTCTCTTATATTTCTCCCCAAATCAAAAATATATCTGGTCTTCGTTTTTTTGAAAAATTAAAACTTCATTTTGAGTCAAAGTATCTTTCGTTTACCGGAGTATTTGACCAAAAAAGTCGATCAAAAGTATTTCTTTGAAGTTACCGCAAAAACAAAAGTTTCCGCGAAAAAGTTTTTTTTAAATATAGTGAAATATTTTTAAAATATATATTTAACAAGTATATTTGTAATTGAAAAAAGTATATTTATAAGTATAAAAATATATATAGTTCGTTAAAGTGAAATTATTAAAAAAAAAAAATAATTAAAACAAAATCCTTAAGAACAGTTTCAATAAAGTTACTGCAAAAAAATAATTGTTTTATAAGTACACCCTTTGTGTACTCTACATAAAAGTATATTTATGGCACTCTATGGCAGCAGGTTTTTTAAGTGTATCAAGAATATAGATAAAGTCATTGAATCTTGAAATCAGCTTGGAGAACGGTGGAGAAATTTAAAAAAAGTGTTTTGAATGTGAAGATAATGATAACATACTATGTGATTTGACAAACTTTGTTTTACAATAACCATCACTTTAATTTTATATATATATATATTTAAATTTGAAATATAGTTATATATATTTTTATATTTATAAATATACGTTTTTCAATCACAAATATACTTGTTAAATATATATTTTAAAGATAATTCTGTCTATTTAAAAAAAACTTTTTCGCGGAAACTTTAAAATGAAACTGTATCTAAGTGAGGATATAAACAAAAAGCTCATTGTTTGAAAAAATTAAATAAAAATATAATACGGAAAAAAACACATACTGAAACTTTTTAGTCCCTGTGTAATAAGGTTAACTATATTATAACTAATATATTATGGTTAATGCAAAAGAATTCAAAGACGCTCTGGATGCACTGGAGAGTAAACTAAGAATTGTATATGAATCAAAGATTAGTAATGCTGTAGCAGATTTTAAAAAAAACAATACAATCATTAGTATTAACAGTTGCTGATTTAACTAAAAAGAATGAAGATTTAAACAACAAAGTTGTAAATGTTATTGTTCCTGCTCCGAATGAAGCTTGGAATATTGTAACAGGTAGAAAATTAAATAAAACTCAATCTCAGATTGATATTATTAATACAGTTTCGAATGAAAATAAAGAAATCGAACGAAGAGAGAAGAACGTAATTATTATTTGGTTTAAAAGAATCCAATAAAACTGATGGCGCAGATATAAAGAAAGATGACGAAAACAAAGTATTAGATTTATTGGATCAAGTATCAATAGATAAACTTCATATAGTTCGTATTTTTAGATTAAAATCTAAAAATGGTATTGCACCAGTAATTGTCGAGTTAAGAAATAAGGACATGAGAAATGACTTTATAAAAAAATCATATCGTAAGTTTAATGGTATTTATGTAAATCCTGATTTAACTGATGCTCAGAGAAACTTGGATAAACAACTCAGGGATAAATGTAGAGAATTAAATAAACCACTTAACCTAAAAGTCGATTGGGACCAAGTTAAAAGCTATCACGTAATTAGAAATAAACAAGTAGTGTTGATAAACAAATAGCAATTGTTGTTCAAGTCATCACAGTATAACACACATAATTTTAAACATTCTTTACATACACCTTGTCAATATATATATAACCAATTAAATAACCCTGATGCAGACACTGGAGGAAGTAATCATTTGAACTCAAGTGCTAATACACTGCTGGTAAAGAAAATGAATCAAGACCTTCAAAAAGGTTTAAAAACAGAAAATATCGATTATTTAACATGTTGGTATACAAATGCGACCTCTTTAAATAATAAATTTGACGAATTCATTGATGATATATCCAGATCTAAGGCTAAAGTTATATTTGCTTGTGAGACTTGGTGGTCAGCAATGTCTACTACTAATATTCCTGGTTATAATCTGTTTAGAAAAGATTGTCAATTTAGTCGTGGTGGTGGTGTATGTATTTATATACAAGAGAATATTAAATCTTATGAAATAAATGAAAAATATCTAATAAATGAAAATATTGAGCAAGTATGGTGTTTGATTGAAATTGGCAAAGAGCAAATCTTATGTGGTTGTATGTACCGGACAGGCCTTAGTAATAGTGAAAAGTGTATTGACATTATAAAATCATTAAAACAAGCATATGTACTCAAAAAAAATAACAAATGCTCTGGTATTTTAATATGTGGTGACTTTAACTATGCAAACATCAAGTGGAACGATGAAAGTTTTAGTGAAGTTATAAATGACAGTGACACAACAGCAAGTATGTTTATTGAGTTGTTACATGACTGTTACCTGCACCAAAATGTTATCAGTCCTAGTTTTCAAGTAAAGTTTGGTATTGATACTAACATTTTAGACCTCATTTTGACTGACAATAACAACAGAGTTTATTTTCTTGAACATTTTCCACCGTTAGGTGGTATCGATCATGGTCATCATATTTTGAAATTTCGATTTGGTTATGAAAATAAACCTAATTTATTAATATCACTACAAACGAGGAAGAAAAATTTTTTGTGGAAAAATGGAAACTATAAAGCGTTAGATTTGTATTTTAATAACATAAACTGGATAAATGAATTTGAAGGACTAAGTGTTAATGAATGTTACGAAAAATGGCTAAGAAAATATGAAATAGGATGTGAAAAATATATCCCAACGCTAAATTTAGATAAAAACTCTTTTCAACTAAAAAATAACTCACTATGGATGACAACTGAACTTAAAAGCATGTGTAAAGAAAAGAAAAAATGTTGGTTTAGAAACAGAAATTCAGGTTTTAAAAGTCTTTTAGAAGTCAATAAGTATAAAAAATTAAATAAAGATATAAAAAAACTTGTCAAGAAAAGTATTCGCAATTTTGAAAAAAACTTGGCACTTAATTCAAAAAGCAATCCTAAAAGTGTCTATGCTTATATAAACAACAAAACAAGATTTAAAGA